TGATGTCCTATGGGCCTAAACTTGATCCATTAACATTGACTCATTTACATTACCATTTTCTATATATATATATGTGAAATCACTTCATAATTAAGGTATGTTCTCTAACCCTATCTTCTTCCCCTCTTCTTCTCTTGCACTTATATTTTTCTCGTCGGCAGTTGACATGATCGTCGGAGTGCGAACGGTTGCCAGACCTTTTTTTGACCCACAGCCTTTGCCTCCTAACAGGGTGTTCAGTGTGCAGGTGATGTCCACGTGGAGGGAATTCTGTTGAGCTCATTTTTTGGGGTCTACACATACAACGTTTGTCTCCGTATTATAAATTAGTTATTGATCATCACTAGTTAAAATTGTGACTAAATTTTTATAATCTTTAATATTAATTAAGGTGGTATATGGGGCCCTATTATCTTCCATTTCGACCATCTAGATATAATTTGATTTTGATAGATACATTACGAGATGATTGCAAAGTGTTCACTACTTGAAGTTTGTGAAATGACTTGCTAAAACTTTTGATGAATGTTAGTTGAGATAATGATAAATGGTTTAACACAATTGATTTTTAAATGCCTTCAATTAATTCCTTAACAATTACTGTTGAGAACAAATTACATCATATTTTTGTTTTAATGAACGCTATTTTATGTAACACTTGTACGCGTTATGTCAACATCAAAGTTCTCCCCATTATAATTGACTTATGGTCATAGTCTAACATTTTTCATCTAATAATTTTTTTATAGTGCAATATATGTATACTTGTTCCACCGTAGTACACTAAGATGAATATTAAAGAATATTGAAAATATATATTTAGTTTGAACCCTTATAAAACTGTCTTAAATCTTATTGTGTGATATTTTATAACGTTGTTCACTGATTATCATTTGATTGAACTGCTTTCCCAATATTATACAAAGGAATTAAGAAACTGAAAATCATATACATAATCCTCACAAAAGACAAATCGAACCAGGAGTTTGAAAGGTAATTCATTTAAATGTATTTTACTAATTTAAGAGATAAATAATATCTCGTACACCAAATTTAAATGCTCCAATTCAAATTGACGTCTTGGAAGAACAATTCATTAACATTATCTTGATAATTCTAGGGCATGATTAAAGCATGATTACATTCAATTCTAAGACAAAAATCTACAAAAGAAATTAGAGTAAATAAAGAAGATGGTCCAATTGAAGAGACATACTCTTGAAGAGTATATAGACATAACAAAATATAAAACCCCTACTGGAACAAGGATCCTTTGATGCTGTGGTTGATGGCTGTGAATGTGTTTTTCATACCGCATCAGTACCTTTCTTTGATGCAATCGAGGATCCACAGGTTCGTACCTCATTCCTTTATTGTTCTTTTGGTTGTGAGTTGCCTTTATGCATACTTCATTTTGTTGAGAAGGCAAAAGAAATCAAAACTACAAAGAGCTCCTTTAAGTTACTCCTAAAGTAAATGTTGTGCTCAATATCGTAAGTCGCAACAACTTGGAGAAATTGCAAATACTGTTGATAATATCATTTAAACATATAAATTTGCCCACACTCTAGCAACTTAATTTTTAGATGAGGTGGGTTAACATAGTACCATTACAAGTCGATATCCAGGTTTCAAGTTTCACTGTTACCCATTTAAAAATTGTGCACGTCATGCTTATATATAGAGGGTTAATGCTTTGCCCAGCAACAGAAAACATAAAGATGTGAACAACCAATGGTAAGAGCAAGTGAACTAGTCAATAGTTCAAATCTGTAATGCGCTTAAGGCATTTATAATACAAGTCTTAAATGCTACTTACTCGGTGGATTTGAAAAAAGATAATTTCTCTCTCTAGTTTTGGCTACTCTCTTGGCTCTACTCTCTCGCACTCTGGCCCAACACTTCACTTTTCTCTCTTATCCTCTCTTTCTTCCCTCACTTCTCTTCTATTTATATTCTCATAAAATTTAGTGATTGTTACATGTGTACTGCGTCAATTATTGACGTAATTCGTCACTCTGCTCTCAGGTAGAATTGGTTGATCCTGCCCTAAAAGGAACACTCAACGTTCTCGAATCATGTGCTAAAACCCCATCTGTTAAAAGAGTTGTTTTCATCTTCTATGGCTGCAGTTGCTATCAATGGCAAGCCAAGAACACCTGAAGTGGTAGTTTATGAGACTTGGTGGTCTAGTCCAGAGTACTGCAAAGAAATAATGGTGTGTACGCTACTCTTCAGCCTTTACTATGAGACGTGTACATCTGCAAACGAAGGCACGGACTCTTAAATAGCTTTTGTTGACCTTTTCGTGGCCATTGAACATATAATGTTTCATAGTTTTGGTCATATTCCCAAGTTAATTAATTCGCGTGGGATACAGATTTTCTACTCCGTAAGATGATTGATGTCGCTTTGACATGGAAAATATATCACAACTATCATAACTGAGAATTCAACAAGTTACCATTTTGCAACTGCTGGTACCGGTGATAATATATCACAGTGATGAATAAGTAAATTAATATATAAAGTTTTGGGGACACTTCTTTAAGCAGTGAACTCAGAGCACTTAAATCATATTTAATTGCCATAGAAAAACTTGTAACTACCATTATTATGGAGTCCTTAGCTGGTAGACGACGGACTGTTGATGCCTGCAGCCTCAGAAATATCTTCTGAATATCTGTTCCGCTCGGTTGGCAATACAAGCATGTTTGGGAGTTGTTTATAATCAGTTTAAATTTTAAATAGATAGAAATTAGTGGTGAATAAGTGGGTATTACTAGTGGGTCTCATAAAATGGGTGGAATAAAAGTGGTTTGACCGATTATAAGCATATTGTAAACAGGTCCAAACATGCGCTAAATGTTTTGTTTCACTTTGCTTTCATTTTTTCTGTTGCTTCTATCAGAATTAGTATTGTCTTGGAAAAACTTTGGCTGAGGATGCTGCCTGGAAATTCTTGAAAGAGAAGGGTATCGAAATGGTAGCCATAAACCCCTCTTTGGTTGTTGGTCCACTCTTGCAGCCAACACTTAACACAAGTTCTGTAATTTTGAACTTGTTGAAGGGTAAGCTCTATTCTCCTAATAGTTAGATGTTGAATCCTTTGTTTTTTGGACAGGTGGCAGGTGCTGCTTTATTTTCCTCGAATGACTTTATTATGGTTTGATATTCGTGGAGTAAGGCCAATTGTTTCTTTTGATTCAGATCAGTTCTTGAGAAGCTTTGATCTACTCCTTTACACATAATGCGAAATTTTAGTCTGCCTAGTCAATTCAGCTATGCACATCGAATTAATAAGTTTCACTTTAATCTTTTTCGAGTGAGAAGCACACATACTAAAGCTTGGCAAGGAATTCTTAATGCTTCTACAAAACTAGTTGTTTTTCAGTGCTGATAAAAGCTTTTCCTTTGTTAATTTTTTTACCTTTTATTTCTTGGAAATGCCTAATAACTCGTGCGTTTTGGGAAATTTTTTATGCAGGTGCAGAAACATATCCAAATTCTGTCATTGGATGGGTTAATGTCAAAGATGTCGCAAATGCTCATATTTTGGCATTTGAGAATCCTTCAGCTAATGGAAGATATTGTCTGGTCGGGCTTGTTGCATATTTATCCGAAGTTGTTAAAATACTGTCTGAACTTTACCCTACTCTTCTTCTTCCAGAGAAGTAAGTTTATTTTGACTCGTTATCGCTATAAATGATTACGTTAACGAATAACTATCTTGTGAAGGACTAATGTGCATGGGTGTGTGATTCAGCTTGCCCACGATAGTAGTGGGCCAACGAAATATGTGGATAACAATGTGTAGTAATTATGAATTGTGGTTTAAATTAATGTTTAACTTTGACTGAATTTATAAACCATTCATAAATTGCTTGCCAAATGGAGGCATAATCTCCATGACTAATTCTTTTTCATTTTAACAGGCAAAAATCTTTGAAGTAATGTATTGACTCATCCTTAGATTTAGAATGTAGTGGGAGCCAAATGTTTAGAATTTCTTAACTTCCAACTTTGCCAAATTGACGTTGCTTCATGCACACAATATTTTGCCTCTGAAGAATTACGTCAACACGTTAAATGCAAGCCTCTTGCCGATGACATTGCGTCAGTAAGACCTTCAGGGACCAATACATTTCCAATGCCGTAGTAATAAAGTCCACCATTGCTTTCAATTATGTTAAGATTATTGTTTTCTGAGGGAAAATTTCCTCTGTAGGTGTGTCGACAACCAGCTCTTGCCAATATACCAGGTCTCAAATGAGAAGGCAGAAGGCTTGGGCATCAAATTAGAGGAACGCTAGTAATTTAATTTCGGAAAAATAAATAAAAAGTTGTCGAGTGTACAATGAATGCAACTGAATTAGTCACAAAAATGAGTCAACTTCATTAAAATTTAATTATTTACTGACAAATTATTCTGTGTGTAGTATATTCAATTTTTTTAAAAAAATTAAAAAATTCGAAATAGTAAATACATTATCTAATATAAGTAAATTAAAACAACTAATGTACAAATAAATTAATATAAAATATCAGAGATTCAAAGTTTTGAAACAACCTATAACAAAGGTGCTACAAATTCAATGTGTGAAGCACAGAAAATGCATAAAGAGCAAGTCAGAATAGAACATAAATAGGAAGAAGCTTCAAAATTAAGTATCCATTTAGAGAGAAGAAAAGATGAATAACAAACTAACAATCCTCGTCAACAATAACAATCATTCACGACATTAATAATAAAATTACAATTTTCAGAACAATCTATCGAGTCAAAATAGATAGCTACCACAATATCATTTCATGATTTGCCCCATAAGATTAGAATCTTCTCCTCGGACTCCTAGAACGATGGCCTCGAGGTGATCTGCCAAAAAACGAACGGAATCATATAAGCATAACAAGAATGAATACTTGAAGGTCAAAGCCTCGTTAAAAACCAGGCTACAGAAAATTAAAATAAAGAAATTAGGGTCCATAGTTGGTACGTTTGGCATCCAAATGGTTCCAGTCTTTATTATACAAACTTCTATTATTTTTCTTTCATGTTACGCTCAGCCAAAGACGCACACATTTCCTGATCATAGCTAGAAATGTTTGCAAGGATAATGAATCCAAGCCAGATCATTCTCAGAAAAAGCAATTTTGAAATGAACATTAGAAAACACAAAGGAGACTATACCTCCTCATATTCCTCCTCCTGAATGGACCTCTGCTGAATGCCCAATCCACGATTATGGCTTGTGTGAGCAATTCAGTCCCATCCGTCTCATTTATAGCTCTTTGTGCCTCTTCATATGCTTCGTATTCTATTAGCGCATAGCCCTATAAAACAGCAGACCATGTTTAGTTATTTGGCAAAAATCACCCAAAGCAAGTGATGCCGCACACACAAGCACGTATATGTACACACCAATCGTTTTTAGCGTCGATTGAGTCAAAGTGAATATTACTAAGATATCAACCCGCTTGAACATTCAAATCTCATGGGAAAGAGACTTAGGGAATTGAACTGTACCAATTTTCTTAGTAGCCAAAAAACGATGAGGGTTAAAGCGCTCAATAAACTGCAGAAAGAGAAGGCTACACTTGGATTCGGTTATATAAAATGTTCTACTTAAATAACCAAATAAAAGAGTTTGGCCCTTAAAAAAAACATTTACAAAAAAATGATTCTACACAAACGTGTTCTTAGTCTTTCTGCTACTAAGATAAATATATGTTCTAAATGAAATTGACTTAAGCACGTTTAGGCGAGCAAGAGTTTGAAAGACAGGTCATAATGATAATTAGGTTTTTTCCTTGTTTGAAAGATGGGATGCTGTTTTGATGTCTAAACTATATAAAATTGTCACCAATGTGTGATTTCGGCATTTTTCTTGGGACAAACGTAAAGGAACACAGATTACTGATTGGCTTCCAAACTTCCAATGGTCGTACAATATCATTTACTCAAATATATTGTACTCTATCAACAACTCAATATCACCAAAATGCTCACTGTGTTGTAAATGTTCTTCAACAACCTTTTTTGCGGTCAAAAAATGTTTAACAACCTTCCCTCCATCCTGCTGGCAAATGCATCGTTAAAATAATAATGCATCACGATATGTACAGTTGTTAGGGATTCAACGCATACTATCTATTTAATTGTGAAGGATTATGATTTGGATCCACAAATGCACTCAATTCCCATAACCGAGTCAACCAACCTAAGGTAAAAAAAAGTGACACGGAGATTATACAGCAAAAGGATAAGGTCCTACCAAAACTACGATAGTGCAATCAGAAAGCAAAATAAATGATCCAAGAGGAATATCCAGACCCATAAAACAGAAAAGGAAAGCAAAAAAATCACCCATATATGAAACACAAAATTCAGACCTAAACTTCTTCCCCTTCGATAAGCTCCCTATATCATGTGAAGGAACAAATAATTTTTATAAACCTATCAAAACAAAACACAACCCAACCCAACCTGAAAATTGCTAGACATGCATTCTCCATTTATTCAGTTTCCATATTGTAAAATTAATCAGTAAGTGATGTTACAACCAGTAGAAGGTTTTATCATCTTATTGAACAATCCAGAAAAGTGGAACAAAATTTTCTGACCTTGGCAAATCCTGTACGCCTGTCAAGATTCAAATGCAAATTTTTAATCTCCCCATATTCACCAAATGCATTTTGTATATCATCCTCTTGAGCCTCTTCATGGACTCCAGTAACCAGAACAATCCACCCTTCAATTGCTGAAGAAATTCAAAACCTTCAGAACTAAAACTCTCATCTTAAAACTTACAATGTATTATCTTTGGATGCTAGAAAAGACTACTGCTCGAACTTTGAATCCATGATCAACTGGTATATTGTAACAGTGATTGGATGGAAAATTACAGTCTTCAATATTAGAATAACCTCTATAACTGGGGCAAAGATTAAAATTTTTATGACTTTTGTTCTCTAATATAATGGAGGTTGAACAGATAAGTGCTTCATGTTCATCAATGACAAGAACCTACCCTGCTCCAAAAACTGTAAAACACAAGATCTTCAGGTATTTGGACTGATACAAACTTTACCAAAATAAAAGGGATGCAAATATGAAGCATCAATAACTCACAGACAAATCATATTCCTAACTAAGAAGCTCCTATAATTAACCTAAAAAGTAATTACAAGAATATAGAGATAAATGATGCCATTACAGGACTTGTCATCTTAGCTGTCAAAGCAAATTATTGAATGTTTCTTTGTTTTCCTAAATCAGGAACTCATACAATGTCGGCATCAAACTAAAAACAAAAATATCAATTTATTAAATTTTCCTTCCTCCCCACTACTTCAAATAAAGAAATTAGTAGATGATGCAATGAAAAAGAAGACAATAAAAGTTGACGTCACAATTACTTATTCTTTCCTCTCCACAAATTATTCAGCGGAAAGGTTGGAACTTTACCCTTAAAAAATCATATGAGAATTATAAAGACTTATGAGCTCAATAATATGTATCAACAAATGAATGACACCAAAAATTACACAAAACGAGAGAGAATTCAGAAGTTAAAACTTCACAACTCAATTTTTCATTTACTTACTTCCCTCTACAATTCAGCTAAGAGACTGATCTTCATGTACCCAAAACCAAAATGATAAAAGCCTAATGTAATACTTTGTCCACATCCCTAGAAATTAAAAACTCCAAATAATGAAACCCTTGGAAAATATGACAAAACCAAAAATAAATGAACCCAGATAACAAATATTCACATCTCTTATATCTCAGTTTTTTTTTTCTTCGCTCCCCTACATTCATCAAGTAAAAGATACATCTTTTCCCACTGTAATATTCCCCAGGAAAAGGAATGACAAGATCCTGATTGCTGAATTAAAAAAAAGCAAAAGGCCTGAAAAAATTCATAAAATATCACAACTTAAATTCATAATACACATTTTCTTATCTCTATTCATTCAGCAAAAGAAGAACAAGAAGAAGAAGAAGACAGGGGTCTTTAGCAAATAAAAAGATGTAAATATAAGTTCCAAACAACATAAAGACAAAATTAAACATAAAATATAAATAACAAAAGTGTGTGTTTGTCGCACAACACACTCGGGGCAGGGCGTAATTAAACTAGAAACATAAGATCTTAAAAAAAATTCGAGAAAAAAGCTAATTAAGGTTTCATGCCCTCACATCGTTCAGGGCCGGGACCACCAACTGAGTCAAGAGAATCGAAGCGGGCGGACATGCGGGTGTTGCGTTCGGCCTCAGCAGCAGCCTCGTCACGGAAGCCGCGGCCCTTGGTCTTCTTGGGAGCGGAGTATGAGCCGCCACCGGTAATGGCGGACTTGAGCCGAGGGGTATTAGCGGCTGCTCCAGCTCGGTTTGGAGATGAAGCGGCGGCGTCTCCTACATCCTCGTCCATCAAATCGTCCTCCTCCGGCTCGAAATCCACCGCCTCTGGCTCCGCGTTCACCATTGTAGCAGGTTTTCCACCGGTTTTTAGGCTGTGTGGGGATATAATGGGGGGTTTTGGTTCGTTAAATCCCAATATCAATTTGTGCTTTACTAATATTGTCTTTTAATTATTAAATTTGGGATACAGCAATTTCCATCCACATTTCAGATTTTTTGATTTTATAAAAAGTACTTTATTTATCCACATTTATTCCAATATTTAACTTATTAAATTCATTCATTTGAACATATATATGACGTTATTTTTATATATTCATCCCAAACCTATCCGATTATAATTTTAAAAGTTATCGAATTTATCCCCACTACTTCAACCTTGTTTTCCAACCAACAATAGAACACAGACTTACATTCTTTCTAAGGG